ACCAAATCCCGGATGGGCGAACCCTAAACATCAGGAGGGGATGCTGGCTGGCAAAACCGCACACCAAACAAGAAGATCGCAGAAAATCACAACGCTGGACGAAGATCATGAGTGGACAACTCATGCGAAGTCCAAACCCTCAAAAGAAAAGGTGTTGTGGCAAAACTCAAGCTTTAGGCATGCTGGCTACAGATGAAAGGAAGAGAGAAATAAACCTAGAAGGAGATGTTGCCTGCCAGACCCTAAACTCGAAAGGAAGACCTATGAAACTCCGAAACCCGAAAAGAAGATCCTGTATGGCGAACTTCACATACGCAAAAACAAGCCATTGGTTACGGTTACTAGAGATTGACAGGATGTGTTTGCTGGAAACACTACGCCTGACAAGAGAAAGCCGCTAAACAAAACAAATAAAAATACGTTGGTTGGCAAACCTGAAACCTCGGAAGGAAATGTTGGTGGAACACTGTGAACTGTGAACCCTGACAGATGGTGGATGGAAAGACGCAAACCAGAAGATATCGATAGTCAAACCCTACACTAGTGATGACTGTCCTGGTAGGCCCAGAGGTTCCAAGATCCCATCTTCGTAAACGAAGAAAGCTGCTCCATAGGTCCAGGTGATCGGAACGATCACCGTCACAAAGAGCTTGAACGGCACCAGGAAGGCATTAAACCAGAGTGCAATGAGGGAAAAGCAGATGAGCACCTCAACATCTCAACATGCTGAAAGACGGACACGCTACTGTAGCCACAGAAGAGGAGCACCGACCTTTTTGGCTCACTGAGACGAGGACGCAGATCAAAAAGCAGGTTGGCAACGCTGAAGATGTGACGTTGATCAGGTCCGTGACCACCGATGCAGGTGAAAACATGAAGTACCTCGACGAACAACGATGGAGAGGCTGAGAGGCTGCAGCTCTGAGAAGAGAAGCTGATGCCTACCAAAATGCAAGGGCCAGGGCACCGCAGCTCAGGGATAGTGGCACGTCCACGGAGCTGCATCTCTTGCAAGACTTGTGCCACCTGCGCCTCGAGCTTGAAAGCCTGTGGTCCCAACGGGTCCATAACGGGGTTGAGCACCGTCAACATTGCATTCTTGCGGACCATCTCTTCCCACATGAGGTCTAGGTGCTCCGACGTCTGTGTCAAGAAGACATTCCGGGCCAGGAAGCTCTTGCGAACCAAGTTCATTTGACTTAAGCTTGGACAAACAAGCTGTCCGAAGACTTCGTTAAACATGCTTTTTGCGAATGGCAATGGGGAGTGGATGTAGCTCTTGTCGATGGGGACACTTGGACTTTGGAAACTCTTTGCTCCCAGTTCGTAAGGAGTGCCCTCCGTTCTCGCTATCAACGCACGAATCATCTCGCAGTTCAGCTGGAACAAATCTTCATTAACAAGCGGCGCCGAAATGGTACCAGCGCTTTCTGCATATTCCGCATTCGTAGCAAATATCAGGATTGGCCTCGATGACACAAAGCAGTGACACTTCATGCCATTCGCCTCCGCGTGCGGCCGAGCAGCATGAGAGTCATCTCGAAGTCAAAGTCCTGTCGCGATCTGCTACAGATCGTGAGAGACTTTCTGTCTCTCGTTTTGGGTTTGGCTCCTGCGTGATCTCAAGACTGGTGTTGAAGGCCCGAGAGCCTCGAGGCATTGTCATCTCGAAGCTGTGGCCCATTTCCGTGAATCTGAGCACAAGGGTCAGCAAGCAACAACAGTGATGCCGCACTGCACATGCGAAGCAGAAACTGAGAAGCGCGCTTAAAATTTAGAACGTCGAAGTTCTGAAGGAATCTTGCAGTTAACGGCATCATGAGCCCGTAGACAGCCACAAAGGCGAGGAGATTGCAGGGAAAAGCCGTGAGGATCTTGCCCAGGCAGTAATACGGCCCTTTGCGGAACTGTTCAACGCGGCGCATGGCTTCACCTGCACCACTGCGACAGTTTTGAGCCCTGAGGGTCAAGCGAAGTCATGCAGCGCACAAAACCAAGGCCATAATCGTACACGAACTCGAAGCATGTTAGTGTGCGGCGTAAAGACCCGTTTATGGGGGCTCTTGGTGAATTACGCCACAAGTCAATGCGGAAGCTGCTCCGAGGCAGGAAGCAGATTGTCTAGAAACGCTAAGCGCTTAGCACACATGGAAATCGAACTCAGAAGGCATGCCCGGTCCTGTTGGGCTCAAGGGCTCTACCTCCGTGGGCACCCCGGCATCTGGACCCAGCCACGGCAAAATTGCCAATACCGGGGCCACAAATGTGAGCTGAGCTAAGACCTCACGACTTCCCTAAAGCAGCACCTGCAAAATGTCAAGCACCTGCGAACATGCTGAGCCCACTCTGAGCAACCGGCACAAACCATGATTGCAGATGCGGCAGCTATCCCAAAAGTTTTGAACATATCGGGTAGACCAAGCATCACTGACCAGCAAATTGATAGAACAACACCTGTGCAAGAAGTCTGCAACCACTCACCCGGTGCAAGCTTGCAGGTGCAGGTGCCCACTTACACAGAATCTCTGCTTGCCTGATACAACGACGATGCTGCCACTGGTCGCTACCATCTGTATAACAGCTTCCTCGACCGACGAACCTGCTTCCCGCTCGGTCTTGTAGCGAGTCAACATGAAAAGGGCATAGTCCCAAGATAGCGCCATGATCAGCATCAACATAATCATGAGCGCATAGTAACTGATCGTCATCCCCGCACAGGATACGAAGTACATGAATCCAAAACCGACAATAATCTCGAATAACATGGGTGTCAGTGCCAACAGAAGCAGCCTTGCACTTCTTAACACGTATCCAAGAATAAGAATCGGAAGCCCGACTGTCTTGACTTCGTGCAGCACAAAGTCCAAGATGGAGACCTCAAGCTCAAGAAGCACGCCGAGGCACAATCCATAAAACACAAAAGCCAAGTATAAAGGAAGCAAGCACATGTTGAAAAGACACCTTCTGGGCCAAATGACTTTCATTTCATGGTCCAAAATAATATTACCTGTCAGCTTGACTTCCATCGCACCTTCACCGCCGAACTCATCTATAGACTGGATAAATTCACGTAGTTGAACAACGAAGTCTTCTGCGTGCTGCTTCAGCTGAACTGGAATTGACCACGTCCACATCAGCATAATGCTCTGATGATCTTTGGACTTGAAGGGGTTCAACAGCTGGTGATGCCCAACAAAATCAAAGAAGGATTGAAAAGACACAGCGGAGGCTGGATGCTCGTAGCCGAATCTTAAAACTCGATCTTTGATCTGCTCGGCGTAGACTTCTGCCACGTTGTTGCTTTGCACATCGACACACCACGTCTTGCACTTCATCACCACCTCAGCATTAGATTGCTTTTCCCGTGAAAGCAACATCGGAATGGAAACAAAATACAACTCTGCCAGCCAGACTAAGCTAAGCTGCCATCTCCAGCCGCTTTGTAGACGCGCTGTGAAACTGCCTTTGTGGCACCAACCCTCACCCGGCAGGCTCTAAGGAAACATGAGATTGCTTCAACATGCGGTTTGACATGTGCAGAGAGGGCATAAAGGTGGCAAGTCCGATGAACTAAATAGAAGCAGAATCGGACGGTATCTCGAACCGTTTTGGCAGTTTGGGGGAAGATTTACAAGTTCTGTGCAATAAGCAGAACTCAAGAAGCAAAGCTCCTCGTGGAACATGCGAAGGGGTGATTCCTGGCATTCTGCATCGCGGACCGAGGAACCAACATGTCAACACAAACTCAAGTTTGCAGTGACAAATACCGTCCGGGAAAGGGCACTGCTGACGAAGCCGCGGAGAGATAAGATGCTGAGCAACCCAAAACACGCAGACATCTCAAGGCCCCGAGACAAAGGTGCGAGAGTGGAAACTTTGGGTCAGTAGCAAGTACCGTGCCAAAGCAAAAGGTCCTTCAAAAAGCCTGCCTCCCTTTGCTCCAACGTGTAGCACTTCGGCACTTCGTGCACACTGAAACATACAATTATGATCTTGGAATGCTATCGGCACATTGGTGCCAGAAGACATTTCATGGATTTAACTGGAAGCACTTGTGTGTTCTGCTAAGCTCCCGTGTCACGAGGAGCCGGAAAGATTTGACTTTGCACGTCTACTTGCACCCCGAGGTCCAAAACAAATTGCACTTCACAGGAGACAGGAGCACTGCATGAAATCTCTGCGGCGTCTGCGATGTGTTTCTGCGCACGAAACACCATCCAGGACCATGATACGAGTCAAGCACTTCCATAGCTGCCGCACTTTGTGTGCCCGCCGGAGGCGTCTTGTCCATACCAACCTCGGGCGGCTTGCGGCAGCAGCAGTCTGGGTTCTTTGTGCTCAAAGCATAGCCTCCCGTCTGGCGGCGCTCGGCACTCTTTGCAGCTTGGCCACGGTGCGTCGCAGCACAAGCACCAATGCTGGAACGGTGAAGATCAGTGTTGCTACAATCCAGGTGGCGACGAGGCAGAATCTATGTCTGTACACATTCCGCGCAACAACATACATGCACGCATCCATGTAGCTCGTTTCCTTAGATCTTGCAGGGGCGAGACATGTTTTCAAAGCCTACACTCACTCCAACAACCCAAGTTAACCTGAAATCTTTCCCTTCCACTGCAACGAACTTGCAAGATGCATTACAAGCGTCATGCTCTGAACGATCCTTGTCGCGATCATCCCAATTCTCAACATGGCCATCGGACATTGCCCGTAAAAATACAAACGTGGATAGGTAGTGGCATAATCTTATAGAGCGTCTGGGTTAGAGTTGTTGTAAGAATGCAAAAGACAATGACAACATGCAGCAGCTTCTTCTTCTCACGGCATGACATCATGGTATAAACTGACTTGCGTGTTTGGCCCACGTAACATATTTCGCTCGCGTTGCTGCACACTGAATTAAAAGCTTGAGGAACACGCAGGCGAGGCCGAAACAGGATCGTCCGGCTTGCAAGCATCCATGCAACGAATGTTGAACATGAATGAACACATGGGCGCACGTCAGGGAAGCTTGCAGCTGCCATGAGTCCTTCAGGCATTCCATTTAACTTTCGGGTACAACATGTACTATGAAGACACAGGTCTCCTCATGCGCAGGGGCGCATGGCTGAACTTGATTATCTGACTGGGATTGATCACGCAAGGTATTGGCCCTACGTTGTCTACAGAACAAACATGAATAAGATAACACAACTTGTCTTCGCTGATGCTGCGTCATTCTTCAAAATACAGAAACGATTGAGCCAAGATAGTTTGCAGAAAAACCCGGCAGCGCCGCAAGCACTTGTCGCAATCTTGGAGACAGCATGAAGCCTCAAGGAAACGGCCAAAGACTTGGTCCTGCTGCAGGGGCCGAGACGCGGTACTTCACGTCTTTGGCTTTGGGCTTATGGCGGTCGCTGTCATCTAAGATGAACTGCACCTCGCAGGTTGAAAGCAAAATCACGTCAATGCTTGAGCAGGCATGCGTGACGTGAGGCCGCGAGGCGACGTGCCGGCACGCCTCCATTCGCTTGCCATCCCCAGCACATACGTAGTCCGAAGGAGCGCCGTCCACAAACGCCCTGCCGGAAATCTAAAACCGGAAAGCAACAGAGCTTGCTACTAGCTCCATCTTGGGGCTGCTTGCATTTCCGGCACTGTGGCATCCGCAAGAGCGTCCGTTGTCCGCTCACTGAGATTTGAGACCTTGCCTCTTGTCAGCTCTGCATACAATGGCAGCAATGTGTCTTCAGGATGCAGGAATGCCTTCATGAACTTACACACAGCTGGTACATGCAGATGTGCCGTAAAGAAACGGTGAGACATGGTGAGATTTCTACAACCCCTCGTGGCCTTGGGCCTGAGGAGCAAGCTGGGCTGTTCGTTTACAAATCTTCTGCCGGCCGCTCTGAAACATCCGGGCGTACAGAAGCACAAACATACGAAAAGTCAGCTGGGCGATGAATCACAGCTCAGCTGCCAGTACCTCCCTCCACAGGCGCAGAGGAGCGGTTCCCTCCGACGATGATGTGCGAGGCATCCTGGCAGTGTGAGTCAGCATCACTCAAGATAGCCGATACGCCCACATAGTACTACATGGGCTCGAAAACTCGCAAGAAGTTCCATTGCATCCCTGTGGAAGGAATTGCCGCGGCCGAAACCGAGTTTCGGATCATCGATGGGAGGCAACCAGCCGTAGGCCTAACAATCGTTCGCCCCAGAATCGAGGTATGACTTTCGCATTCACTTCCTGCCTGGGAGCTCCTGACCATCCAGCGAGTTCTCAGGGGAACGGAGCAGCGTTTTCTCATTGCCTCGTTGACGGAACAACTCGCATGAACTGTGAGGAAAGCTCGTGAAGCCTCGGTGTGTCTGATGTGGAAGGTCTCCTGCAAGACAGTGACAATTCTTGCAATTGAAGCTTAGCGTGGACCGCGTGGACCGGCCTTAGGATTCTTGGGATCGAAAACAGAGTTGTCCTGCAACGCGTGCATAAAGTCCTCCCTGATGTTTACACGCTTACACTCGCACTCTCAGACCTTAAGCTGGTCGTAAGTGAAGCCATGCTCCTGATGCTGCGTCGCACTCCGAGGACGCTAAACTAATGAACCACACGACATGTGTGCGTCGGCCTTGGACACCGGATGCCTTTCATCCCTGAAATAGCCGAAGTAAGCCTCGGTTCGGATCCATCAGCAGATATTCATCCGACTTCCTTGAGCTCCAAGCGCAGCGAAGCAAAAGCCACTGGCTTCGCCAGTACACCGGATGCTGCATTGAGAGAGATTATCGACAAGTAGTGCAAGTAATAGCTTAGCAGCGTTGGCGACTTTCAAGTGAAAGTTCAAGCTATCGCTATCACCTTAGCAGTTTACGGAGATTACCCTACGCAAACCTTTGCGATTTTAGACGATAACATGGCAGTCCCCAGACATGTTCAACTTCTCCACCGTCCCACTCCAATATCGCTCGCCATAATTTTGTTGTGCCCTGCGATCTGGAAGTCTCTGCAATGACCAAGCAAGATTCGCTCTTACCTTTGGCATCTGAGTCGATTTGAACCTAATCCATCCGAATCCCCAAAGTGCGCTTTCTGGCTGGCGGAGCCATCCCAACTTGGGCAGCTGCATTTCTGACCTTGTGCAGGTCGGGCAAGGAGGCGCATCGCTTTGTTGCGTCGGCGTAAGTAAACTTGAGCTCCGTCTGTACCTCTGCACTTGACATTTTGGACACTTCTGCCGCTTTGCTGGCACCGACCTTGGTCTTGAATGCCTCGCACCTGACGGCGAACGCTTCTTTCACTTTGACCAAGGAAAGGACACATGGCTGGGGTATGCACTCATCCTTGGTCATCGGTGCCGGGACCTTTGCAAGTGGAATCCTGAGTTGCACCGAGCAATCGAGAGGTGCACTACGGACTGCTCCAAGCAGACTGTCGGACTCTATCCAAGAAGCTTCATCGCGGCCTCGGCCTTTGCAACTTCTCTGTCCTAAAATTATGGAACTACTCCGCTCGGAGACTCGAGCCAAGCACTGCGGAGGTGAACATCCTACTCACTCTCAAGAGAACAGATGGTCAGATGCTTAGAACTTTGATCCCGAGTACCGCTGTGTGACCTTGACGAGCATTCCTTCTTCACCGTGTCCACGGCATCATTGCCCACAGGTTCAGAGGTGTCCTCCAGCTCACAAACTCCTGGAAGGCAAAGTGTGATGGTCGACAAGCTTCCACGGCTTCCTGGCTGCACATCAGAAACGACGTCTTGAAGAAAGTGAAGCGTTCCGACAGGTGGAACTCCAAGAGCTTGACATGCTGCGCCTGCCCTTCTGATAGCTTGCACCGCCGCAGGATCGAGCTTCAATCCGAAGGGTCCGGCACACCTCTGCAGAGTTAGACGTGGGCCCGTCTGACAATCAGAATTCTGGTCAGGTAGGAAGGGCGTCATGACGTCTGTCCAATCTACCTCCTGCAAACTGCATCTGCAGCGCAGACAAGTACACTGGAACCCCCAGTCTTGCTGCAGCACAACCTTGCGAACGGAGGTTGGTGCCATTAGCAGCCCCGCATCCAGGTAAGACCGCGAAATGCGCTGGCCGCATGCAATGTCTGACATCGCTACCAGTTTCATGGCCTGAGCACTCGAGTCCCATTCCACTCGTGCATTTGGCTGGCAACTGTGCTGCACCATTGCCAAAGCTGCAAACAATCCGAACAAGAAGCGCACATGTCGTATCAAGGGACGGGTAGGCTCCGACTCTTCCACTGTTTCGATCCATGTTTCTGCATTGACATCACAGCACGCTCTCCACTGGGAGAGAATTGGCGCAACGTCTGGACCCAAAGCTTCCAACAAGTGACTGGATAAGCATATCGAAAGTCTGTCTTCACTGGTATCGCCAACTGAGCTCGATTCTCGGCTCAATTCCTGTGCAAGCTGTTGCTTCTCGACGTCCGAGCTCACATGCAGGCAGAGGCAGCCGGCCAACAGATCATCCATGGCATCCAGCTCCTCTTCCTCATTGACACAACAAGCCTTCGCCAACCAGCTTCCGTCAGAAGACCCCAAGACCAAAGGCCTTTCTTCTGCTAGGCACTGGCCGAGCGTGCATGCGACTTGCGCTTCCAAGCATCTCCCATGACCTCTCACCTCACAAAGCCTAAGTCGCTGGCTGCTGGTCTCCAGGACACGTGCTTGCAGAAGTGGCCAGCGCTCCATGCTCCACTACTGTGCCTCATGTGCCCTGCCACAGGATATTGACAGGAGCTGCGCCAACGAGGCTCACGTGCTTGAGGCCAGTGGATTCAAGTCAAAATCAACAGATTCTGCAATACATAGTATCACGCATACATCCTGCGAGACCATCGCCCCTGCATGAGAAGAATGCTTACATCATACCTCACAAAACCGTACGGCCTCCAATGGACGAAGATATCACGATCGACCTGAAAACAGCAAGCCAGAAAACCGATCAGGTCGGCACTGATCCATCGCGACAAGACTTCGACTCTTCTTGTTGACACTTTATCGAAAGAACAGATGGCAACCAACGCCTCGTCGCACACAATGAAGCCCCAGCCATTCTTTGGGCAGAACGTCTTTATGTACCTGTTCATGCGAGCAAGATGAAAGGAATTGCACATCATTCATAGAACAGCAACGTGGTCGCGATGCGTGTTCATACTAGCCCCTGTCAGCATCAATGCTTTCCTTGCATATTCTATCGTCTTTGGGAATTGGATAAATGCAAGTTTAGCAGGCGCAACCTTCGGCCTGTGGCCCTTTTGCACTTCCAAAAATTGATTGCATCGACTACTTGAAAACACCGACAATAGAGCTGGGAGCCACACCCGGCATGCGAAGCAGCAGTGGAACCGCGGCCAACCATGACACCAGTGCGAATCAACTAACCCTACAGACCATCACTTGAATGCCGATGTTAACTTGCGCACACACAAGTGCACTCACGCCCAAACACACGAACTACCGTACTGACACCCTCATTGTTACAAGGAGGGTATGCTTGGTTTGCGGTAGCTGCTGTGCCTCGACCATGAAACACAGTCTTTGCTGTGGCAACTGTTGATTCGCTCGGAAAATGTCGAGCATGGTGTCTGCACCAAACATGTGCAAGACACACAACATGCCGTCTTGAACTACTATTGCTGTAGCATAACCCTGTCGGATCATGCTTGTTTCGCTGACTTGAGTGAAAAGCAAACGCTGCGCAAGGAACAATTTTATGTTGGATGTTTACAACACCCAAACGGTCATTCTTGCAAACAAAACTTCAAGCTGTTCGAACATGAATGAAGCCTGAGCTGCAACCGGAACCAAAGGAGTTGCGGATCATTTTGCGCTTGGCAGAACAGCGATCCAGCCGGAAACCGGAACACCGAGCCATTGTTTCGGAGTTACGGACAAGGTCGAAGCCTGCGGGTAATGTCGGTTGTCGAATGTCAGACGTTCTGTACCAGCTCCTGTTGTGTTGGAACATTGCATGAGTATTGCATGCAGGCAAGCAGACGTCAAGCAAAGTCAACTGATCAACGAATATAATGTCTGTGGAATCAGACGCTCTTGCAAAAGCTGTCCACTTCTTTGCTATCCAACAAAAACGGCATATGATTTTGTATATTGCGCACCAAATTGCCATACACACCACCCCAACTTTCCGGTTCAACCCAGGCCTTCGGGTTAGACATTGGTTAACCCGCACCAACAACCTCAGGTTCAGGTTTTTGGGCCCTTCTCCCTTGCCAGCCGCCTTCAATCCCTTCGCTTCGAAAAACGTCTTTCCACACATAAGAAGGAGAAAGCCACTCAAATTCAGAATCGAAAAAATGTTTTCCAACAAACAAGAAGGCTTCAAGCAGGCACGTCCATGTCTCTCCCAACACCGCCTCCGGCTCTCGTCAGTCGTAAACACCACACATCATGAGAAGAAGCCACACGAAAAGAGTTTAAAGCAAAGAAAACTAGGAATCGGAAATGAAACGTCTTCTCCAACAAACAAAGCATCAAGTGACATTTTCGTGACAACAGCATGAATGTGCGCAAACATCAAGACATTCCGTCCGGTGATGAAAAATCCAACAACCTGAACTTCGATTCGATCCATTTAACTCGAATTCGAATTCGAGTTCCAACTCCAAAAAGGAGTTCGTTCCAGAAGCGAATCCGAACCAGCAATCTCAGGTTCTGGGTCTAGTTGACGACATCGAATTTGCCGCAAATTCGACTGAAAGGCATCTTGCCGATGGCGCAGAGTTGGACCATGGTCCGAACATCCAGCAAATTTGGAATTTGCCTGGCCAGGCAGGCCGGACTGGCTGGAGTTAACTCGATGAAGGCTCGGCAGGGCCACATTGGAGTGAGAATGACGAAGAGCCAGTTTCTTCTAAAGGTTATGGGACTTGAAAGCGCCTCTGGTCGGGACGAGATGCGAAGCGTTCTCCAGTCAGTGTTCAATCAGGTTTAAATGTCGGGTAGATAGAAGAACGACTACTATTACAACCATACGACTGCTTCATTTCATTCTTTGAAATACATCGGACGTCAGAAGCTGGAATCGAAGGACCAGGCGAACTAAGAAGGCATGGCCGGCAGTTGGAAAAGTGTCGGGTGGGAGTTGCTGCCAAAACGCACGGAAAGGTCTGAGAGCTCCATCGACTCGCTCCAATGTTTACAAGGCTATCTCGAGGGGAGCAGCACCCGTATACACGGTCAGCGCTTGTGCTCCGGCACATTGTCGACTCCTGCGGAGAGGCACTTTGGAGACAAGACTGGTGCCGCCGTGCAGCTTCGTCGTGAATGATAGACTCTGATTCTGAAAATCTGATTATCTCATCAAAAACTGACAATGTAAAAAATTACAAAACAATCAAAACAAGTGTCAAAATTGCATAGAACTTGAACCTTGAAACGCAAACTCGAAGACTGGTTCGACACTTTTTAAAATGCTTTGATTGGAATGTACTTGCAACATTGATGCGGGGGTGCGGAGGACTGCCGTTGCTTTTCTTGCGGCAACTCATTTGCGTGAGTTTTTCTTGAAGCTTCATGAGCACCTTCCGTGCTTGCAGAACCTGCAAACTGTTATTGTCAGAGTTATCAGCATGGAACCATCTGCTGCGTTGTCAACAAATCCGGTCGAATATCCATGCAACTACACGCCAGATTTCTCTGTTTTCCCCGGGGGTAGTGGTTCCAACAGAGACAGTGCACGCAACTGATTTCCTTGTGCAAGCACAGAGTGCTCATTGAGGCGGAGCTTCAAAGGGAAGGTTGAAGGGGGCTTGAAAGGGCATTGAACGGAAGGCTTTAAGGGAAAGGAAATTGGGGGGAGCGGGGGAAACCAAAATAAAAAAATAGAAACTCAAACACGCAATCATGAACACAAAAGAAGAAGAAGCCGCACAAAATCGCTTTATGGTGGTTTTGCGAAGAAAATACAGTGATAAAAGAAGAATTAATGAAAAGAAGAAGAAGCCACACGACATCGTTTTATGGATGGTTTCTGCGAAGAAAATAAAATGAGAGAAGAAGAATCAATGAACAAAACGCAATCACACACAAAAGAAGAAGAAGCCACACGAAATCGTTTTGTGGTTTTGCGAAGAAAATAAGATGGGAAAAGAAGAATTAAAAGTAGAAGCCACACGAGATCGCTTTTCAGGAAGAAAAGAAGCTTGAAGGCCTGAAGGGACATTCTGGAGGGAGCTTGAAAGGAAGGAAATGGGGTGCCCCCCTTCAACCCCTCTGAGGGGAAAGTGAAATGAAAAAAAGAAGGATGAATCAATTCGTGAAATAAAACGCAATCACACATCAAAAGAATTAAAGTCGCACGAAAACCCTTTATATGTTTTTTTTTTTCAAAAACAAAAATGAGAAGAGAAAAATCAATAGAAACGAAAACTCAATGACACAAAAAGACAAACACGCACGAAATCGCTTTAGTTTTTTCTTTGCGAAAAATGAGAAAAGCAGAATTTAATAATAAAACGCAATCAGAAACAAAAAAAGAAGAAGCCACAAAATGGCTTCAAAGTCATCTCGAGAAAAGCTTCTTGCATTTCTAGAGTAAACTGTGGTCCCATTAGCAATGCTGTGCAACAGTGCACAAAGCGTGATGCGTTTACTGAACGGCTGACACCTGAGATGCTGTGATGCAGACTCGAAGCAACTGGTTTGACACTTTTAAAAAAGTCAGAATAGAATTTATTTGCAACAATGTTGCAGAGATGCGGAGGTCGTGCTTTCACTTGCAGCAATTCATTTGCGTGAGTTTTTTTTGAAGCTTGAAGCCACTCTTTGATGGTGAAAGGGGCTTAAAGGGAGGAAAAAGGGCTTCAAGGGGGCTTCAAAGGGCTTGAGGCTTGAAGAAACTTAAAGAAGGGCTTAAAGGGAATCGGAAAGGGGCCTTAAACTTCAGGAAGTGCTGTCGAAGGCTACGAGGGACGTCGGAATTCGGGAACCATTGCATCCGGGCCGCAGCCGATGCGAAGAGCGGACTTGAAGCCGCCAGATCGACGAACTCAGAGCAGGTAGGCATCAATCAGAGATTGGTCAAGCAAAGTAAGGCTCTACCTCCGCTGTGAACGACCTTCTGTCTAGGCTATTCAGTGTCTGGGGCTGGCAAAAGCGCATACTTTTTTTAAGGTTTTAGCCTGGCTGTGCAATATGACACTGCACATGTTGACAAGGTCTGTGAGACTGTGACTCTTGATTGGTGCTGCCTGCTGACGAGTCTATGACATGGATCATCGGACAAATGTGAGCTTTTCACGGCCGCACCAATCGAGAAATGCGGCCCAGCTCACGGAAGCCGCCTCCTGGAGTTGATGAGATTTCTTGGAAGGGATTTGTCGTTTGGGGGTGTATGTTGCTAGCGGACGAGGAGCAAAAACACATGCCCGGTCTGTGGAGAGGAAGCTGAGTCAGCCTTTAGATCGCAAACCTGAGACTTGTATCCGGAGCCTGTGTTGGTATTCGAAACCTTTCATGGTACATACTGAATATGCGACCCTAAACCCCGGAAACCCTGAACCCCCCGACCAGCTTGCAGCTCCTCGTAGCGGAGCTGAGGTTGATATTGTCGCAAGTCGGATTTCTGCGGATTGGAAAGTTGAGAGTCTGGCTTTTGGTTTATTTTTAAGGAGTTAGGGTATAGTGTTTTTTTTTAGGGTGCCGAGGTTTAGGGTTTAGGGTAGCGGTCG